ACCTTTGCCCTTCATGGCATGGCTACAACTTGTGGGACGAAGTTCCAGCCGGTGTAACCCACGGGATCATTGCGGCACTCAAGCCCGAACACCACGTCAAGATGACAGCTTTAGGTCGGTTCTTTTGATTGCAGAATTATTGCATCTAGTTCCCATCCTGGACAATATAAGTGCCTTTATTTCGCTTTACGCCAAATTATGTCATAACCTTAACCGGAGAGGCAGATGACAGAAAGATAAAGGCTGTGGTAACCGGACCTGGAAGCATGGACCAAGAGCCACGTCGTCTGCCGTAAAAAGTTCAACAAAAACTCTAAACTCCATGTGAACGTGCACAAAACCTCAACGTCCATACTATTTGCTGATAACTTAGACAAATCTTAGACTGCATACTGGAATACTCAGTCTCAACAGAGGAAATTTTATCCATCTCAAGAGCCCTCCTTCAGTTCCGTGGATGGCTATTATTGAAACTGTCAATTTCGGAGGTATTTTTGAAACAGCAAGTGCTCCTGTTTCTCACAAAACTGTGTACCAAATCTCACAGGAAACTGAGCACAACAGACTGGTTAGTGACCCGTATCCGATCACCTATAAAAATCGGAATCGCCCACCGGAGTACACAACTCCCCTGCACAGGGGAAAATAAGTTGTGTGCGAACATTTGCTATCAGATTCAATCCATTCGCAAAGGAGTAGCCTTTCGGAACACAACGGGAAAAAACTTCTGGTTCCAAGAATTATTGATACATACCTTGAGAAGGACAAACACGATCGTTCGTCATCGACTTAGATTTGCCAGTCGACAGTGATGTGAAAATGCCTATCACGCCAACACTGCTTCTACACCGACCTAACTGATCTGTCTTGACAGTTTAGCCTGGGAGCTGTCTGGAAGATGTTACATAGTTACTATGTGCCATGAAGCTACGCTTCACGAAATTTTATGCTTGTTTCTCTTATTTAATTATTGTCAGGCAGCGCAAATATTAGTAACTCCTTGATGATGTGGCGATGAGGACACCGACCCCCTCATGTTAGTACAATAATACACGCAGGGCTGTCGAACAGCTGACAAATTCACCCTGGTCTAAACTGAAAATTGTTGAAAGCATGCACAGATAACCGGGTTTTCCGCAAATGTATGCGGGTATTCCGGATGCCTCATCGTAGACGTTCCCAGAAGGAAAATGCCGCGTTGATGAGACAGTTTTCTTATCTCCTGAAAGTAAAGGAAAGTCGTATAAACATTCCCATCAGCTTATGATGTGACTTTACGTGTGTACAGCAAGTTCAAATAGGTGAAAAAGCAACGCGACGCTGAACCATTGTTGGACTAATTTGAAATCACCGAAATCGTTTAGTGTTGCACCATTGTTATCACAGCCTTGATAGGAGAGTGTCGATAGTGCGGAGCAGCGTACAGTGTCACAAGTAAAATTAAAGGATACAGCGAGAAAATTACACAACTGCATTTGACTCGCGGATGAGGGTGTAAAAGATTCAGCAATTTAGGTCTGTACATCCATGAAAAAAACAGTGAGATTTAACAATTTCCCAGTTCCAACGTTTAGAACTCAATAATATTAGAAAGCGTTGAAGAGCGTATATCAGCAAACACCTGCGAATAGAGTGCGAACCTCCGAACTGTATGCTTCGGCGGGTATCTGGTGGACCAAAACCCGTCAAACTCGAAAGCACGGCAGTTTTCATAAGAATTCGGGAAGTACACGAAAAAAAACCGGATTACGGAGAAACCGATCACGATTCTTGTGCCGGGGTAAAATTAAACTGGAGCCTGCGGTATTGCGTTCTTGTAGGCAGTTCCTCTTTTGCGGGAAGTTGGACTAGTTTTACAGAGTATTGGCTAAGTTTTGGAAAAAGGGGTCTACCGATCACAGGTGTGCTTCGTTTTCAGTCAAGATCAAATTGTTTGTTCACAGACATCTAAATACAGACAATGACCAATACTGGGCCTCTCACCACCATCCGATTTTGTCCAGTCAGATAAACAGATTGATAAGTGAGACGTAAAAGGAATCGCACATGGGACCATTCAATATTTTGTCCGCATGATACAATAAAGTCCGACTTACATTATCCTATTATTAAGATAAAAACAGCAATGACCAGACGCGCTCCCATTAACATTAAATCTCGAAAGATAATGAAAAAGCGATGGATTCAAGATCTTGTGTCACCTGTGTACCTTAAAAAACGCATAGTAGTCTCTCTTTGAGCCTTGATAGACTCTTTGGGGTTATGAACTACACACATGGCAATGAAATTCCAGCAGCCAATAACAATTCGGGACAGGAACTAAGATAAGCCCATGTCACCATACCCTGATTAGGTGGTCACATATGCAAGACCCGATGTCCCCTAGTCTAGACCACTAAAGGGAATCAGTGTGACTGCCATAACTGGTATATTGCTGTCCATCTCGATAGAGTACTAGAACTGGATTTGAAAACACGCTCCGCTATCTTCAAATCTTTATGTCGCGGCGCACTCGCGACAGTAAGAATCCATCCACGTGGGAGCAGGGCTGCTTGCATCCCTGAATTAACTGACGTGATTCAGAATTGCGCACACTGCCAACTGATGACCGGATTGTCCCCCGACTGGTGCTGATACACTTTTGACCTCATCACTTCATCTTACCTGAGACCTTGTGCTCAACTAGGCATTATATTCACCAGCAGTGCCAGCATCTTTACAGTATGCGAGTCGGCCTCTTACACCTTTTCTGATCGGTGTTCAACCCTTGTCCTCAAGGTTTATTTCAGAATGAATCAGAGGTAGGACTCAAGGAGTCAGTTAAAAAAGACTTTCACAAGATAACATCAACCGACTAAGGTTTCCCATGTAGAATCCTCCATTTGGCTTCACCCAATTCATGGTGAACGCACGACCAGCTACCTAAATTTTCTCTAGGACAAGTGCGCCGCCACTGAAATTATTTGCACCCGTGCCACTAAAACAAACTCCCACTGCTAAAACAGCTTTAAAGCATCAAAATCATCATCGACAGCATGACATCAGTGTTCAACACCGATGCTTCACTGCCGTACGACCATGATTTGTTTGAAAGCCTTATTGTGAGAAAGGAATAAAGGTGGATGGAGAAGGGACTTAGTGCTGGCTTACCACAATCATTCCGAGGTGCCTACACCTCCAGACATTTACTCAGGTAATCTGGATAGAGACTAACAACAAGAACGCCACTGACAGGTTGGCAACCATATCTTGTAGTGTCCCCAACCAAGAAGAGTGGGGATCAGAAGGTCCCCATCCTGGAAGGCGAGTAGCACCGACAGCACCCAAGCGTTTCATACCCCTATGACAGGTCAAGGATTGGCCACCTCTCTGTTTACGCCACTCTGAATTGGGCATGGAAAACAACACTCTCTTCGGAAAACGATAGCTAGGCCTACGCAACACACGTCCCAACCAACGCAGCTCCTGGTGCTGGAGGCATTCTTTAATGGAAGTACCCTTTTCACAACCGAAAACTCGCATTCTAACTGCCTCGATATGGATTCGCCGACACCAACCCACACGAGCTATGGTTCTGAGACAACCATTGTCGAACACACGAAGACGTCTCAGTTCCGCTGCTCGAAAAGGCCAAGTCTCACAGCCATACCACAAGACATCCCACATTGCAGCCTGATACACACATACCTTGAGATTCAGGGATAAACCACTCTGACGCAATAGGTGTTTCAAAGTAACGAACGCGACCCGAGCCTTGCAGATTCGTGCAGTGACCTCACCTGTCACACTACAATCAGAACTAATACAACTTCCAAGATACGTAAAACTATCCACAACTTCCACTACCGCAAGTGGCGTGTTCAGTGACTGCACGTCCACGAGCATGACCTTACACTTTGCAAGTGCATACCAAAGGACGGGATGACTGGTCAATTTATCCAGAAACAACTGCGCCTTCCCCTGCTCTTCGAACATGAGAACGATGTTGTCTGCATATTTCACATCGACCAGCGTTTTCTTCACAGGCTATCTAAACACCAGAGTTTTGGAGACCCTCCAGTGTTCGACCCATTATTTCATCGATCACGAAGTTAAAAAGGAATGGAGAGAGTGGGCATCCCTGACGGACACCACTTTGCGTACGGAAGCATTTTGAGAGCTTCCCGTATACTCTCACACGTCCGGAAGTCTGGGAATACAAAGAACGTATTGTGTTTACAAACTTCCGGGGCACTCCTTGGTGGGCGAGCCTGTCAAGTAGAACAGACCGGTCAACCGAGTCAAATGCGCCTTGGAAGTCCAGGAACACCAGAATTGTGGGCCATTTATACGTATGGCGTTGCTATAGCACCTGATGAACTGTGAAGATTTGGTCAACGCAACCCCTACCAGGCCGGAACCCCGCTTGTTGCTCTCGAGTCAGTATCTCACGAGCTACCGTAAGGCGACGAAGCACAACTGAGGCCAACAGTCTCGTTACGACCGAGATCAAGCTGACCCCTGTGATTACCACACTCACTACGCGTCCCTTTTTTTGAAAATGGGCAATATCACCGACTCTACCAGTTGTCTGGATCAGACTCCTATTTCAAAATGCAAGCGAACAGATCAGACAAGCGTTGGCTGAGTAGTTCACCACCGTCTTTGAACAGTGCGGGTGGGAGGTCATCCAGACCAAGAGCTCGGTGGCGCTTGAGGGAACATATGCAGTCGTAAACCTCCGAGGCCGTAGGTGGTTCCACGTTCACCATCCAGGGTTCTACTTCACCTGTGGGCTTTAGATGGCTACCAGCTTGTGGTCACGATAGTTGTTGTTCGAAGTAATCAGCCCACCGATCAAGGCGTTTTTATTTGTTCGAGATGGTCGTTCCATTCTGATACTTGGTGGTTTCACCCACAAATGGTTTCCGGAGACCGGTCACACGGATCGACTGAAATAATCTTCGGGCTGTACCGGATTTGTGTCCACCATATTTCACGGTCGGATCGCACGCTCACTTTCACTTGACGTCTGATAGCACTTCGAACCGCGTTATGTTCGGGACCGGCTGGGATATTTCTTCGAGATTTAAGTAGTACCACCGTTCGGTCTGATATTCAGTGCTTGGGTGCGCCCGTTTGGGCCGTGCTACAGGCGAAATTCCCAGCACTATGCAGAGGTGGCAATCTCGTCCCGGTATTTGTTCACATCTCTGTGGTAGAGCATTTAGAAGAGAATCTAGAAGACGATTCTGGTAAGTTCGTCTAACATTTGGATCTGTCAGTCTCTTAGTTGCCAAGCGATTTGTTCGTACCTTACGCGGACAAGGGGAAACGTCGGGAGAAGCGACTCAGGCCGAGTTCATGGCCAGAATCCACAAATTTGTTCCAAAATGACCGACAGTCAGTTATTGATCCGCGCCATCGGTAACTGATTGCAATGTGGTCCATTTGAGTTTGTGGCCGGCATGCCGTTGCAGTATACCATGTGGCTATTTCGGAATATGGTACAGCGTAAAAACATCCTGTGATCAGCACACAGCTGAAACAATCGTCACCCATTTTCCGTACGTACCGAGTCCAGTCCATGTCGACCTACTAACTGAGTCTCAGGTACACTGAGCCCGCCGACTTGTGCATTAAAATGTCCAGCAAGCACCACAATATCTGGGCTTTTAGGTCGCCGTACCAGAACATTCAGGGCGTCGTTAAATTCGTCTGTGACGGCATCGGAGCTACGGCCAGTTGAAGCGTGGGCAGATACGATAAACAGACATCTATCAACTTGCTGCTTGTGAGACTTCTTCACAGACGTTGCCAGGCGAACCGCACAGAGGCGACAATCAGCAGGTGTCCAGTCAGGCAAGGATACTTCCGCCCGGTGACTTAGCACAATACCAACCCCTGTGAATCCCGCTGCAGCAGTCTCTGGATCACCAGAGGTGCGCAGCCGGAAACGAGTGGAGAAAGACGGGGCGGTTAGCTCAACCACTGTACTTGCATCCCGAGAAACAGCACATATCAATGACAAGCGAGTCCAGTGTGAGTGCAAGAGCAGCTTATTGTGCTGCTTGCTTCAAACTGAGGACACTGAACGCGGTTAGATAGACTGTTTGTCGAGGCTTGAAGACTAATTTGTATATACCTGAGGATGTCAGCGCTATGTGACGAGCAGATGCTGCACGCAAAACCGATGCATGACGAACAGAGTCATCATTCCTAAGTGTGGGTATCAGGAAGGTCAGCTTCCTGAAAGCAACCACTGAATGCCCGGAATCTACGGAGACTCTCAGCTCCGCTGGGTGTTGACCAGACAGACAACGCCCCCTCAATATGCAGCGCGTCACAGCCTTGCATCAAACCCAGACAGCGCGAGTCAGCGTTGATCAAGGACAGACAACGCCTCCGCAATATGCAGCACGTCGCTGCCTCGTACTAAAGCCAGACCGCGTGCGTCAGCATTGGACCAAGTTCAGACAGTGTCCTTCCAATAAAAAGCTTGAGGCCGTTGTACTTTTCGCACTCGCGCTCTCGCAACCACTTTGTTGGAATATAGCTATTTTGTTCCCTTCCGTGAGCCTTTTTCTCTCCGACACTAGGCACTGGAGCGGGTCAGCAGCAGATACTACAGGCCAGCGAATCAGCAGATATAACAATGGGCCTACAAGGAGAGAGTTATTAATGGGGTGGGAGGAGGGGGGAAAGTATGTGAAGGAGAAAGAAGGGAGGCGTTAGCAGTAGCCTGTTTTCGCTTACACGCCCTGCTGTATGCAGCAAGTAAGGCGACCCGGCTGATGGCACCACGCGACGGCCGATGTGGCATGAGAGCAGTGTTAGTTGTGAATTTCATGGTTGTACGAGGGTTGGGATACTGCCAGGGCACCACACCTAGACAGGAGGACGATTAGGGTCCTCAACCAAAGACTTTGGCTCAAAAGCCTAACCGCAAGGCAGCGGTGTTTGGCGGGAAATGCAAATGCATTACCATTTCTACGGAACAAGTCGCCACCTGTTCCAACCCCCAATATCGAGGGCTAGGAGACTGTCTTTGTCAGACCTCTAACCATTGACAGATGCTGCGAGTGTCACGGGGACACTCCCCAGTATGGCTGAATGGATCACTGAGGTGCGCAAACCGTCACATCAGGGTAAGGTCCAGTCTCTTCGTGACAGGTTGTACGGCAGTGAAGCATTGGTGTTGAACACTGATGTCATGCTGTCGATGATGATGAGGATGTAACTTGATCATAACAGCGACTTTGGTCTTGTTGACAGAGGGTTTCTATCCCAACAAAAAACTGAGTCAGAAGCAAAATTTACTCAGCAATAAATCCACCGATTTTTTACAAAACCCTTTGAACCGAAGAGACTGAGTTCTTTTGGTCATTTTAGTTGGGGCGTATTTTACCAACGATTCACATATTTTGATGAAAGAATTTTCTTTCCCTACCAATCCCTACTTGTCTTCCAAATGCTACACCTTCCCCTCTTTTCAGTTATATTGTGCACGTGACCTGCGACTTAGG